ATTGTGAACAATTCTGTTAAAATTAAATTATTTTGATATTGTGTGCCAAAAGCTGGTGCTGGATTACCAATTGGATTGATCATAAGACGTGCAATTACTATTAATCTTATGATTTTGAGATGTTAAATGCTATATTACTGAATTTTAATAATGTCTACCGTTTTTTTCACTGGCAACTTTACGATTACAATTGACAAATGTCAATATTGGCGGGAATTTTTAACCTGTGCAAGGGATGTTTTGTAGATCTGCTGTACAGAAATCAACAAAATTTAACACCAAATTATCTTTTTTTATAACAAACAAAACAAAAGGCTATATCATGTAGCTTGTTGCATATCAATTATTTTTAAAATTTAAGCTTTCTGTAAATTATTGTACAATTTCATGACTGTTTTTAGGATTAATGTGATTTTAATTCTGTAAATTGTAGAAATTAAGTATTGTATATTATTTTTACTATTTGAATATAAAATTTCATTGTATATAACATTAGAATATATAGGCCACATTTTAGTTGTCAAGGCTCAAAGACTTTTTTGTTACATTTGTTTTTTTTTAATTAAATATTTTAATTATAATCCGAAATAGAATAAGATTTGTAAATTATTATAATAATAATACCAATTCTATCAAAGCCTCTCTAGGTAATATTGAGTGTAATGTACAGTCAGCGTCATATAGATCGTCACAGACAAGATATGCAAATATATAGGTACACCGAAAGTAATCAATTATATCGGTACAACAAAAGTCCTCAAATTGATAGATACATTCACATTGCTCAAAAACATCGGTACATACACAGCGTCAAATATATGAGTACATGCAAGATGCTCATAAATATCGTAACAGCCACAGCGTCATAAGTAACGAAGCAGTCAAGGTGCGCAAAAATATCGGTACATTTGACAAAATTGAACTCTATCTCTATATACTTGTGATACAATTTGGAATAAACTACTTCTGTTACATTCATTTGACACTTTGTATTAACATTATAGGTTGTCCGGAAAGTTCGTTCTGATTTTCGATATAAAGCTTACAATAGACTGTAGCTGAAGTGGATTCATTTTCGGATTTCCACCATTATCAAACGTCACAAAAATTTCTATATTGTGAATAATTTCATTTCATTGGTTGAGATAAAAACTAATTTTTAAAATTTTATCCAATAATAAAAGACGTTTTAGGTATAGAGTCGTACCAATATAATTTAAAAACATTTCCAAAAATTTAAGAGAACAGGGTTTCAATTTTCCTTATAAAGCGGCACGAACTTACTGGGCAACCCAATATTTTTCTTCTCCTGTCATAACGCTTAAATATAAAAGTTTGTCACGCCGAATATGACAGATACGTATTAACTAATATCAAATTTTGCCTTGTCACAATATATATAATACTAGATTGGCGCAGTATTCTAGTATGTTTGCCGTAATATGTAAGTTTACCGGTTCGAATCTCAGGCTACTTTTTTTTCATTTTATCAATCACGGGGTTATTTTTTCATAACCAGTAAAAATTTGGTAATGTAAAATTTTGCTCGACAATTTTTTTTTATAATTTTCGCTGTCGGTTAGAAAGAAATTTAAATAAAGTTAACAACAATTAGGTCAGACCATCGTTGTTGAAGTGAGTGGGCGGAGCGTGGATTGTCTTTGCGGGTTTTAAGAATGGTACGCGTACCATGTTATGTACATATGTGTGCGCGCCCACGCACACTGGAATGTTTATTGCAATGGACCAAAAATTTGATGTAGTTTGGATATTGACATTCAGTTTTTTTTCTTTGTTTCTTAAATATAATCAGTATCAGTAAAAGGTAAAAGTAAAAGTGTTATTTTTACCGGTACAAGTTTAACAAACATGAGTAATAAACAAATTACATGCCAATCGCTTTATCTCCTTCATTTTTGTTTGAAATAAAAAAGTACTTTAACGGTCAAACTCATTAGTCCAAGGCAATATCAAAAAGTACCTAGTAACTACGGCGATAGAATTTAATTACATGTGCTTCGATATTAAAATTAAAAAGTTTAAATATAAAAAAAAATAGTGGCTTGGGATTTGAACCGCCGACCTTACGTACCAACGGCGGCGAACGGTAAGGCCACGAGACCAAACTAGCATATATGATGACAAACTTAAATTTGATGTTGGTTTTATCTACCTAACGTCTGTCATCCGCGTCGAACACTTTTACCGAATTTTGAAAAATGGTTTGATGCAAAGTGTCAAATGAATGTAACAGAAGTAGTTTATTCCAAATTGTATCACAAGTATATAGAGATAGAGTTCAATTTTGTCAAATGTACCGATATTTTTGCGCACCTTGACTGCTTCGTTACTTATGACGCTGTGGCTGCTACGATATTTATGAGCATCTTGCATGTACTCATATATTTGACGCTGTGTATGTACCGATGTATTTGAGCAGGGTGAATGTATCTATTATTTTGAGGACTTTTGTTGTACCGATATAATTGAATACTTTTGGTGTACCTATATATTTGCATATCTTGTCTGTGACGATCTATATGACGCTGACTGTACATAAATAATGTATTACAAAAAGACGCCATTTTGTATTGGAATATTAATACTCAGATAAAATAAATATCGTGGCTAAATTTTTATCAACAAACAAATTATTGCAAAAAGACATTTATGAATTAAAAAAAAAACATAGCCATTGTTTAATGGAAGTCAGTTTTTTGTCGATACGCCATCATCATCAACCTGCCCTTATCCCTATCGAGGGTCGGCACAGTATGTACTACTCCTCCATACATCTCTCCGTCATATCCGAGTCTACCCCCTTCTTACGCATATCCTCTTTCACACAGTTATTCCATACTTTTTTTGGTCTTCCCCTACAGAAAGAATAAAAAAAAATTAAAAACAAAAAACCGCGGGGTTTTCATTGCTAATATATTTTACCAAAACATAAGTTAAAAAAGAGATGGCTATGTATTTCATCACTGGAAATCGTGATCAAAGATTTTACTGTTAAATTCATGACAAATTTAATGCATAAAAATAAATACTCAAATCATTCCATTCGAAGTAATTTGATATGAAAATGGTGTGTAATTTTATACTAGTTAAAACTTTAGATATTATACAATATTAAATACATAATGTAATCTATTTACTGTGCAATACAAGTGAATGTTTCGTTTTCAACAAGCTTCGTTAATGTATCGTAAATTTAAGAAATTATAATTAAAAATTGTAATAAAGCTGTAATTAATATTGGGAATAGGCTTGTATCGCGAATATCCGAGATATACTTTTTATTTTCTTGAACTGATTTTTTTCAAATCAACATTTTTTTTTTTTGTAATTTTAATCGATGAAACGAAAAATGAAAGAAAATTTATTTCTCCGAATAAAATTATTATTAAGAAATTTTCATTCAATTACTTTTATTTGCCTTAAATCAAACCTTTAAAGGATATAAGTTTCTGAGCAGAATCATCCTTTAAAACATATATTTATCTCTGATTTGTCAAACATCATGACAGAGATACAAAGATTTTGGCTTTAGAAACTAACCGATAACCGGCAGCTCAGTACACATCACTTAGGGGCTCAGAGCCTAGCCTAATTTAGTCTAGTACGGGTTGACTTCTCACGTAACTTTGAACTTCTTAAATATGTGCAGGCGACCTGCACGTTCACGAACACGATGTTTTCCTTCACCGTAAAAACTTTGGATTATATCCATTTTATTATTCGAAACTGGAAACACACATTGATATTACGGGGATCCTGGACGTCCGGTCAAGCACTAAAAACTGCACCACGAACGCTATATGGAAATGTGGATGGCTGCAAAGGGGAAGGCTGAAAGATGGATGGATTGTATGAAAGAAAACGGGAAGGAATTGATGTATGAGAGATGTATGGATAAGGTCATACACTGGTACCATGTACGTTTTTTTCTCATTAAATTAAAAACTCATTATAAATGGTGATTTTTATGAATTGACAATTTAAGTTAACATTTATTAACTAGAATTAACAAGAAACATATTTCACAATTTATATTCAGTTTATAATATGCCTAGTGATATTACAAATTGACAAAATATAATGTTAAAAGTAACGAATTAACACCAAAAGTTTTATTGTGAATAACACATTTATTTGTACAGAGTATTCGTCGCACAATTTGTATTAAGAACAGCGCCATCTAGTTGAAAATTATTAAAGTAACTTTAATTCATTCTTTCCACTAAAGATGGCGTGACTTACAAAAATAATGTGCCTAATAATTTAATTCATGGATAAATTTACTTTACACAAGTCAACAATGTCATACAAATTACACAAAACAATACATTTACACAAACTTTATTAAGAACAACATTACCCTGGCTGAGCATTTTAACTGATAAATGGACAATAAAAATATTTGCACATTACTTAAAATCTAATAAGATTCAAAATGGACGGCATTGGACGGTATTAATAATTAATTCTAAAAAAAAATGCTTAATTCTACATTCAATCAAAAAATTAAAATATAATACGTTTCAAATAAGAAACCCGCGCCATATTGTAGTCATTTCAAATCGAACAATAAGTTAGAATCAGAACAGACATTTTGTAAATAATATTTTTAATCTGGATCTAGTCACAAATATAACAGTTTATTCCTGCAAAGTTGATATAATTTTTGACAGATCGAGATTCTTTACATTCTTATTTGCAACGTATCAAAAGCCACTTGTCAATGGCTAATGGCTAGTGCATTGGTTTCCGAGACTAAAATACAGATTAAACAGGATTAATTACACAGGTCTAAAACATATCGCCAACCCTGTCAATGACTTTTGCCTCAGAAACCCACGATTAAAAGACAAGATCTGATTATAACATCTGTCAAATTCATTAAAAAACATACTGTACAGTCATTTTTCTTATATGACAATATTAAAAAAGTCTTAAATCTATAAAAAAGTATATTCAATATTTTGTAAAAAAAAATATTTTATGCTATAAAAAGATAAAATGATAAAGTTAAAAAAAAAATTAGATCTTAACATATGTTAATATTCAACCAATATCTCAATATTTGGTGACTGCATATCCAATATTATTTGGTACTGTGAGAAGACGCATAGCCAACAGTAAATCTGAAAGTTAAAACGAAGAATATATTATTTAGTAAACACAGAAGATCTTACAAATTATACTGTAATATTTTTTGTTACAACACAATGGTGATGACTCTACAATCATATTCATTTTACCATTTTAAGGGTTCCATACCACGGAAGAAAAAAAACGGAACCCTTATTTTGTTGCCGTCCGTCTGTCAAACCCTTTTTTATGTTATAAGGTGGCAAACACATTGGGGCCATGCAACCACTGCCTATACATGTCTGTGATTGCAAATGCATTGCCTTTCTTCAGTCAACTAGGAAGGGTAGATACAAAAAGAGAATATTTCCCTTCCCATCCTTTTTCGTATAAGAGTACTGAAATTAGGCTACTATCACACACTCATTTGTCTTGTGTTCTTCACCTTTTGCTATACTATTTATATATTACCTTATTTAATGGACTACCTCATTCAAACTTGACAAACTACTTTACCTACTACATGACAATATCAATATCAGTGAGATTCATCTTTGGTACGGAATGATTCTTAATGGGTGTATCAAAAGCGTTAGGGAGGTAGCGGACTGCAATAGCTATTATTTAAGCCCAAAACATGCTCCGCAATTTTCAATAGATCTGGTTATTTCATTTTTTGTAAAAAAAAATCTTACAAATCAAATTTTCCACTGAAATTGTCCCGTGTGTCCTAAATATTGTCATTACAGTGGTATTTTTTCTTGTACAATCCTTATGTATTATATGTATATTATGTAACATAAACCCAATCAGTTACAACAATATTTTGTGTTAACAACTAATACTCACATTATATGCCATCCATAAGAAGTCAACAAGTGCCGCAAATGTCGCATCCAACTGGAAATATTAAAATACATTTTTAAAATTAAACAAATTAAAGCTCACTTATAAAAATCATTTTAAATCGAGCGTCGGTGGCTCAGGGGTCAAGCAATTGGCTTGCAATATGCAGGTCCTGAGTTCTAATCCATGTACCAAAGTGTTTTTCGGTTTCCGATTTACATATGTACATTTATCCGACGTTGGAAAACATCGTGATGCAACCTGCGCATATTTGAGAAGAAATTCAAAGGTATGTGTGCAGGCAACCAACCCGCACTTGGGTTGACTATGGCCTAATCACCCTTAACTTAGGGTAGGCTCCGAGCCCCTCGGCGGGGAATTATAGTGAGCTGATGATGTATATTAAAACCATTTTAATTGTCTATACTCCAGGCAGCCCAGACAGGTGATATAAAAAACTGACATTCACACAGTAAAATAACTTTTCCAAGCAAATCGGGGTTACAGTGACAACTATAAATGTACATTAAATAAATTAAATTTTCAATTTGTTATAACTTTTAGAGAATTCATCTAACAATATATAAAATAATAGCAGACATAATTTACATCTAATTAAATTGGAATATGTATGTAATACTGAAAAAAAAAAAGTTTAGCAAACATAATCTATTTATATTGCTTATATTGAAAAACTATATACTTGTTCCGGGTAGTCCAAACCACTAGACCAATTTTGACGGAACTATTCCTGGAAAGTTATGTCTGTAGGAACATAGCTATTTCATTTGTGCTTTTGATATCATAGGAAACATCAAAAGAAGGAACCTTAGTTTATTTTACATACTGAGACATGAAACATTGAATATTTGCAGGAAACTAATCACTGTAACTAATATTCTATTTAAACCTTTTTGAATAAGTCATGAAAAGTTATAACTTACATAAATATAATATCCACCGAGAAGCCACAATCCAAAAACAAATTGGAACATTATTATTAATCCCATTGTAAGGAGCCATGGCAGGATGAAACCTCTCATCCAAATGTTGATACCAATAACCTGTAACAGAAAATTATAATTATGACATAACTTTCTAAACATAATAAAGTTACTTCCTATTACACATATTTTCTTTATATTATGAGACTAAATGCAATAAGCAAAAACAAAGCACTGGAAATTATCCTTATTCATGGATTGATTTATTAAATGAGTTTTTTATCTAAAAATTATCAAAAACCTAGTTGTCACCCGCAACTCCATCCACGGGGAATAAAAAAATATCTTAATAAGTAATCTATGTGTTCTTCCAGACTATGTGTGACTATACAGGTGCGCCACAATTTCATCAAAATCCATTCTGGAGAAACTTTCAATCAAACATCCATCTATCCATCCATCTAACCATTTGCATTTATAATATTAGTAAGATAGATGTCTAATTTGCAACATATTTCATATGAAATTCAGACATATCTATAAATTAAAAAAATAATACATACCATTAATACAGATGAAACAATGAGTGTAGAAAGAATAATTATGAAGATTATTCCGAACACTTGTAGAGCTGAAATAAATAGGTTTGTATTAAATAAAAGCACTTATATATTTTTTTCTTTTCAGTGTCTTTGGGTTTGTACTACCAAAGTCTATGCAAACAGACTTAAAGATTCAGAAGAAAAATCTTTAGATCAAACACCTTCACAGGGGAAAAATAGCTCGCTCATTTTGAACAGGTTTCAAAAGTAGGAGGTCCTCAAATCCTCTATCTATGGTACAATCTATGGTTTTTGTCATTTGAAAATTTTACAATAATCATGATCAGCCTGTCTCCACAATATAAAGGTTGTTTACAGTACTACATGATATATAATGCAATTGTTTTCCTACCCACCAATTCTAATAAGAAAAAACTTACATCCTCTAACATCAGCTTCAAATAAAGGATTCCAAAGTTGTGTTGAATCTCCTCCACCCATTTGATAAGCAATAAAAGTTATTAGAATCAAACTCATTGCTGTTGTGTATACCGCCACAGCTCGGCTGCCGGATTTTACAGTTGAAGACCATATACATGGTGACCAGCAAGATTCTAACACAGGCATCTTTAATTTACTATTTCTTCACTTATTTCCACTAAATTTCTCTTAAATACGATTCAAAATACACGTTAAGATATTTCTGTTAAGCGTGCCACACCTACAACCACAGTTATTTTAAATATTTTTGCCACACATTTAATCGGTTTGAGAACTTTAGTACCAAATCTATTGATTGTTTGTAGTGTTAAGAGAAATTATCTTTAGAATCTTATAATTAATTTAATTCAAAATCTTTGAATTTTGTATACAATTTAAATCAAATTTGTTATAATAGCGTTGACAACCTGTCACAATTTGAAAACACCATACAGATAAAATAAAACATGACAGCTCAAACAAAATAGCAACAAAACAGTGTCAGAATACAGATAACATAATTTGTACCTTTTAAACGTTTAAATACTAAAAAATGTTTTATAGCCCCGGAGAAAAAAATGAAAGTAGTTCGTTAGAGTTATTGACTTGGTATTGACGAAGAGGAAAAGTGTTATATTGTCGATGAAGATTCGTCGTCAATTAGATCGTCAGACTTAGCCAAAAATACCCTTACAAATATACTGTTTGCATTTTTAATTAAACTTGCGTAAGCTGCAGAAATTCAGGGAAATTCATATTCTGGTAATATTAAAAAAATAATAAGGAACAGGATGCTTGATAACTTCCGTTGGGGTCCGAGATAAAATGTTGCGATTGATGATTGCCTGCCTGATTGGGGAGCGTCATCTTAGGTCATCTTATTATTTTCTAACCACTGAAACGTAAAAAAAAGAAAATTAGAAGTGCAAAAAAATAAACACGTATTATTTTTCTAATTACGCATAGGACAATATTATCCTTATTTTTAATAACAATGTGCTTCAAGCGCTTAATTTCTGTGACTGTACTCTACAGGCGTTAGGGGTAACGATAATCGTAGCAAGCAAAACCGCGGGACACAGCCATTCTATCATATAATTCAACATACGTCACTCATCAACTCCTAGTCTTATCCGAGTTCCGAGTGCTTGACCGATAAATATTGTAGAAATATCAGCGTAATCGGTTAAACTCATGATAAAACAGAGGCGCCGAGTTACGTCTCTGCGAAAATACTGCAATGTCAATAAAATTGATAAAGCGAAGATAAGTTTTTAGAGTGCGCAATCATAAATTTTGCAACTGTATTGAACAATTCCGCATAATAATACTAGTTACTTAGGTAATAAAGTAGTAGGAATCACAATATCCTTTAGCATAGTTTTAAGGGTTTATAAAGAAGCCATAGATTAAGCATTTTTTAACTACTCTCAACTACGTCTCAGCGAAGCATCAATATCCTATCAACTTGATTAATTATAATTTTTCATAGTCTTTGAAACAAACGTAGTTTTAGATACATATATTAGGTTGAGGATATACTTATTATGTACGGGTTTCAATTCTTAATTTTCATTCTTTGTATTACACACGTGTGCCAAATGACCAATAATTTAATTAAAAAAGATAAAAAAACGATTCAATTTAAATATTAAAATTATGCTAATTGTACTCTTTTATATTCTTATCCAAAACGAGTTCATTTTATAAATAAATTTTTTTGATCTAATCTTACTAATATTATAAATGCGAATATTTGGATGGATGGATGTTTGTTACAAGGTATCTCGAGAGCTGCTCAACGGATATCGAAGAAATATGGCATGGAAGTATTAGAACGTAGTCTGAAAGAATACATAGGCTACTAAATTAAGTTTTTTTTAAGGCGATAGCTAGTCTAAAATAAACTCATTTACATTAACGATGTTATTTACTTATTAACTTTTCAACTGTTTTAAAAACATAAAACGGTTAAAAACTTTACACAAACATATTAAAAAAAACTACGAAAATATAATATTATAGTTTGTTAACTTCACGAAGGTATGGGTACTTACAAACTTACAATGTAAGTAGACACTATTAGTAAGTAGGTATATTACGCGTGAACTAACTTAACTATAACTTAGGACTTTTGGATAATTTATAAGTTTGTGTATTTGTTACTGACGTATTCAATAGAGTTTGTGTTAGTTTTATAATTTACAAGAATGAATATTATATTGTATTGCATAAAATAAATTGAAAACTGTCATGAAGTAAGATGCGGTATCGTGCATGATCGCGGCCGGTTCGACGACGACGTTCGTATACTCGGTGACTTCATACCGGTTTGATCAGTTTTAGATCGGTCTGCGCCCGCGCGACCGTTCCGTTCATATTACAGAGTCGGCGCGCTATCGATTTTTTTATTATTATTTTGTATCTTAAAAATCGATATCTACACTTTTCTACGTTTTTAAACGTTTAAAAAACTGTGCAAGAGTGAAATTTTGTTGTGCTTCTGTGACATAACCTTAAAAACATCACTGGATGTTTTTTTGCATCGCAACTTTTGCATTCGAGCCTTGTGTTGTGTTGAAGTTTTGGTACGAGTGAAATTGGTACCGGTACTGGTCCGTGGTCGGTATCTGATACCAATTAGTTCAGCGAGTCAAGTTCATTGTCAGCGGTTTTATCAAGATTCGAAAACTGGTGAGTGGATTTATGGTAGAGACTTTCTTCATTGTTTCTTATAAGATCATGTTTGCTTCCATCGAAGTAAGATATTAAAACTGTTTACGATGATACTTTTTGTTTTCATTCGTTTCAAATTACTTGAAAGTTGTAACTCTACACGTATTCCTTTCTTTGCCCCTTCTTTTATTAAATGATGTGTACTTATCGATACAGACTTTTTTTTGTTTAAGTGATTTAATTAGTTAGATTTAGCAGTTAAGTAATTTTAAGTTTTTTTATACTGTAAGTTAAGTTCTCTGGAGATTAACTAGCTAAGTAACTTAGCGTGGCCTTAGTAGAGACCAACATAACTCTGGTTAAGTTAAGTTCACAAAAGTTTTTGTTTGTTGTACGGCATTGTTAGACCTCTCCAATTTACGTGTACCCACTTTTTTTTCTTTTTGTACGTTGAAAAAAATACTGATTTTTATTATGATTAAAAACGGTAAAAATATTAAAATAATGATCGAAAAAACGACAAAACAAGTTGACAAATGCCGTAATTACAAGGGCAGTAACATGCCAGCGAGTACAATACTTACAAATAGGGTTGTCAAATAATTACATTTGAAGTCAGAATACAGTTTAAATTTATAATGCGATTTTTACCGTCTTTCGTTTCATTGCCTACTTTCCGTATTTTTTTTTGTCTGTTTTCATTCCAATTACTTTGTGTTTGTCTATTTACTATTGGTATGTCTTGAGCAAATGTTCACAAATATATGTCTTTGAAGTATGCACGTAATTAGTAAGACTCTACGTATTATCTTCTTCTTCTTCGTATTCTTCATTACTGAAGGTCGTGCTTGTCTTGATATGCTTTTACGGCTGTGTCGGGCTGCCACCACACCATCCTGTCTTTTGCTTGCTATGTACTATAAATGTTGGTAATTATGCTTTACCAACAAACAACAAGGCGGTATTACAATAATCTTGTATAACAAATAAAAATCATTGGCAACCCTAAATGTATATGACAATATAAAAGATTGACCGGCGACTTGCATGGGCGTTACGTTTGCATGCATCGTATGCACTGGGTAGTGACGAGACGTGTTACTTGCGACTCTGAGGTGTGACTCTACACTTGAAGCAACGATTTATATACGAATAAATTCAGTCGTGATTCTACTTGCTTAGTGGATAACGTAGAGATTCACTGCCGACACGTTAGTATTAAAACGTAATCTCAATGTTCTAGGTTATTTGAGTGCATAATAAGAAAAATACTTATGTTTATAAACATAGATGTAAAATCTATAGATTGAGTGTTTTATACAAGTTTGACGTCTAATCGAGATTCGATTTTCGTAATATTTTGTTTTGTAGATGACAACACTGAGTTTAAATTATGTCTATCGTTGTATATTACAGATAATAAAAAAGGATCTTTTTGTCTATTCATTTTGTTGTAAATTTTGAACATAAGAAAATAAATTATAGCTTTAAAAAATAAACTAACACCTAAGTTAGATTTATTAATGATAGTTATCAATGCGTACAAGTGTATTTTATGTAAATTCATTATTCATTTATATATTTAATTATGTAAATTATATGTATATCACTTAATTTAAGAATTCACCTGGCTTTATTTTCCTTCTTGACATAAAATCAAAGACAATAATATAGAGAAAAAATAAATTTACAATTTTATACAAACAAATAATTTTTTGTTCAAACATAGATAAAATGTAGCGATTTTATTACTTTATCTTACTAAAAAATATTCAACTTATTTGACCTCTTTTCCGATGTTCACGCCATTTGCTACCTAAAAACTATCGATATGTCTTTTCCCGCCAAAAAACGTTTATCAATATAAATCCTGCAAAAAATGTGTAAATGATACGTTATTCATTTAATATCCTTGTCGTTTTATTATTAATAAATCAAATATTCCTTTTAAGTTTGGGATTCCCAAATTTGAGCTATCATAAATTTCTTTTGGTAGTGGTCCGCCCATACAATCTCATAGAAATGATACAGATGCGTTGGTGTAGGCTTCTATCCTTGTTAAGAAATGTAGACGAGTTTTTATGACGTTAATCCTTGAGTTATATTAATAATCAAATAATAACATAACATATGTGACAAGTTATGAATTTAATAAGAAATATTAACAAGGTAATAAGAAATTATCTATTTTATTTTTAAACGAATTAGGTATATATTTCTTTGTATTTTAAAATGAAATATCAGCTATTTAAATTCGATTAACAACAAAATTATTGATTTAAAGTAATTCTGAATTGATTAATTTTTGTTATTTATAACTTTAATTTTTCTTTTAATAGCGTATTAAAGTGAACATAAAGATGTAATTGTTGTTAAACTTATATATTGCCCATATTTATTACAATACATATAATTTATCACACATTTTCTCTGCAAACCACATAAATAATGGACAGTTTTTTTTGTCTGATTGCCACTGTTTGCCTTGAGGAGGCACTTACAGCTTCAACGGGCTTTAGGTGGCCGAGCGCAGATGGCACTTAGCCTAAACCTCGTTTAAGGTCGTTTCGCTGTGGACAGATTAAGACATTGTTGTATATATAAATGTAATTAAAAAGTAATTTTAATTAAAATATCAATATCGTGATTTACTTATTATACAGCGCCATCTATTGAAAGATACAATAAGTTTGCATTTTATATGGATGTCTTCTTTTAACTTAAACATTAGATTTTGGTGTCCTTAATGCAAATTAACCTTAAAGAATGTTACCAATTGGTC